CCCCCCCCCCCCCCCCCCCCCTGCACACACATGTCTCTTGTCTCCCTTTCTTCCCATTCTTTGCAGGAGTCCGAGAAAGCCACACGCGCAGAGGTGGAGATGCTCAAGGCCAACCACAGCAAAGAGCTAGACATCAAAGAGAGCGAGGTGCGGGCGGCCGAGCGCGCCAGGGGCGACGCCGTGGCCGAGTGCGACAAGCTGCGCCGCGCCGAGCAGCAGCTCACGCAGGAGCTGCAGCGACTCAACAGGCAGCAGCAGGACACAGAGAACCGCCTCGTCACGACGCGAGAGGAGGCCACGGCGCTGAGGGGCGAGAAGGAGGGGCTGGAAAGGCGTGTGGCTGAGCTGGTGGAGCAGCACGACCGCGCCTGTGGCCGTCTGCGGACCTTTGAGGGCATCTTCAACAACGATGTGAGCCGCTTCGAGAACATTGAGATGCAGACGGTGCGGGAGCAGCTCGAGGCCGTTATCAAGGAGCGAGACGAGCTGCAGGTGCTTCCCTCACCACCCACCCACGCACCCACCCACACACACACACACACGCACACAGAGAGCGCGAGAGAGAGGGAGGGGGGTCATTTAATGCCTGCATTATTGGTGTGTGTGGTGTTGGTGTGACAGGCGAGCTACACGGCCGCCGAGAGTGCCCGCCGCGAGCTGGCAGACAAGCGCCAGCACCTGGAGCAGCAGTACGCCGACGCCTCGGAGCAGCTCAAGGACGCTATCGCAAGAATCAACAAGGTCGGTCAGCATGCGAGCCACGTGAAAACGCGCACACCGCACCCCCTCTCTCTCTGTGTGTGTGTGTGTGTGTCTGTCTCTGTGTGGATACGTGTGTGTGTGTGTGCAGTTGCAGAGCGAGATAGAGGGTCAGCTGCCGCCCGAACACGCCATGCTGGAGAGCAGGAACGTCATTGTGGTCAGCTGAAGTGGAGCTGGGATGGGCTGAGGATGCACTACCAGCGCACCCACGCACACACCTATTACATAGACATTCGCCTCTATCTGTCTCTGTCTGTGTGTGTTGTGCATCTCAGCGTTTGGAGCAGGAGGTGTCTGATCTGAAGGCGACGATCTCTGCCAAGTGAGTGAGCCACACGAAATGCCACTGCCATCCCTGACATGACAATGGATGGGAGTGGGGAAGGAGAGATGCACGTGTGTGTGGGTGTGTGTAGGGAGGGTGAGGTGGCCAAGGAGAAGAAGGTGGTGGCCACCCTCCGCAGCACCATCACGCAGCTCGAGAAACAGCAGGAGGAGGGCAAGAAACTCGCACGGGAGGTAGGTACTCCCTCCCACACACACACACACACACACAACTGTCTCCATGCCATGTCCGTGTGTCGTGCCGTCGTGTGTTGCTTATGTTGTTTGTTCAGAACGAGTCGGTGGAGATGCAGCGGCTCCGCGCCGAGGTCGAGCAGGCCAAGGTTAAGGTGCAGTCGGCCCTCGAGGAGAAGAGCAAAAGCGAAGACCACCAGCGGAACCTCAACGCCTCTCATCTCAGCAAAATGGTCAGCCACCCCTTGTGAAAACACCTGCATCCCCACCCACACACCACTTTGCGCGTGTGTGTGTGTGGTGTGTGCAGAAGGAGGCCACTCAAGCGAAGGACAAGGCCGAGAAGGACAAGGAGAAGGCCGAGAAGGACAACGCCGAGCTGCGGAAAGAGATCGACTCGCTCAAGGAGAAGCATGCCGCCGCCGAGACCGCCACGCAGGCCAAGGACAGAGAGCTCAAGGGCCTCAGAGAGCAGCTCATCAAGCAGCAGTCCGACAGCAAGGCCGTGCAGAAGCAGATGAGCGACATGCAAACCATCGACGCGCAGAAGGGGCAGAAGGTGCAGAAGCGGATCAGCGAAATGCTACAGACCATCGAAGCGCAGAAGGCCGTCAACGCGCGGCTGGAGCTCATCAGCCCTCTGCTGCAGAATATCCTCAACCACTGCAACAACGGCACCGGCCACCTCCCCGACCCCATCCCCAAGATGATCCAAACCGCGCTGACCAAGCCATTGCCCACGCCCGCCCAGCCACCCGTTCCACCACCAGCAGCGGCGGCGGCTGCGGCTGCAGCTGCAGCAACAAGCCCCACCAGCGCCCGGCCGCCCCGGATGTCGATGGCAAGCACACGGCCCCCTGCACAGCCGAAGGCGGCCGGCGCTGCTGCTGCTGCAGCAGGTGGTGGTGGTGGTGGCGGAGGCGAGAGGAAGCGCAAGGGCGAGGTGGCTGCAGCTGCTGCCGCCGGCGGTGCTCCTCCCAAAAAGCAGAAGGCCGACAGCCAGGCACTGGCTGATGACATCACGATGGCCATCACGATCGCCACTGGGGAGGCGGCCTCTGTTTTTGGGGGCGATGCCGCGCAGCCCGCAGCTGCAGCAGCAGCACCTGCAGCAGCAGCAGCACCTGCAGCTGCCGCCTCTGTGATAACGCCCAAATCAGCCACACGCTCGGGCCGCGGCAAGGCCAAATCGAAGGGGCGTGGAGGGGCTGCTGCTGCCGGTGGTGCAGGTGCGAGCGGGTCGCCATCGTCACAAGGTGGGAGTGGGAGTGGGAATGGCAGTGGGCCCGCGGGAGGAGGTGGTGGTGGTGAGGGTGGCGACAGCTCGACGTCGCCACAGGCATAGGAAGAGACTTGGAGAGAGACTGCTGAGGGTGCTGGTTGACACAGCGAGGGCGAAAGGGAGGGCGGGAGGGGTATGAGAACATTCGATTGCATACATTTTGAAGCCATCGATCTCCATGTGTGGTGTGTGTGTGTGTGTGTGTGCTGGAGGGGGATGGGCTGGGAACTCCTTCACTGCTTGATTGATGTGTGGGCCGGGCCCTCGCCGGGTGGACTGGACTCTTCTCGCTTAGCCAGCTGGGACCTTTTCGACGAATGAATCGGCAGGCAGAGTGAAAACGTGCAACACGATTGAACGAACGAATGGATGGACACAACGACATCAGTACAACACGTACACGACACACACTCACACAGACACACACCCCGACGGAGGTCCGTACTCTCACACGCACACACACTCGATGAAATGCAGTGCTTACACACAGACGGACACGTTCCAACCACCGTGGCAGGCAGGCAGGCAGACAGGCAGGCAGGCAGAGAGATAGAGACCGGCAGGTAGGCAGAAGGTGGGTGACGGTGCCGCGTCTTACAGCGATACGCGTCCATCCGTGTCTGCGGCGGACCCCGCTGATCAGATGCATCACGCCCACGCACCTCACCTCCACAGCTGAAGACAGAGGGAGGCGACGCGACCCTCACGTTTGGTGTGGTGTGGTGTGCTGAGCATGCCACGACGCTGGCGATCATCGATCAGTCAAGTCAGGAGAAAAATGCCACGCCGTGCCTGGGCTGACCTGACCTGACCGAACTGGACTGGACTGAAGTGGACCCACACCACACACACGCATAATGAATGACATGAGAGGGGTGGACGGACGAGCAGGAGAAGAAAGAAAGAAGGAGCTGCAAAGTCTATCCACAGAAGGGTCAACCAACGAGCCTGCCTGCCTGCCTGTGTGTATATATCTATCTCTGTCCCCATCGCCTCGCCCAAGAGATCTGTACAGGAGCCCCCCTCGCCCTCACCAAGGCAAACCCTCACTCGGTCTCAAACGATGGATGCATGGATGGATCGATGGACGCAAGCAAACACCACGGCAGATAGAGATAGATAGATACAAACAGACAAACATCGCAAAGTCATCCAGGCAGGCAGGCAGGCAGGCCACACACGCGACGCAACGACAGAGGAGGGGAGGGGAGAGTAGCGTAGGTGTAGGTAGATAAGAAGAGCAGGGCACTGCACTGCATGGTCATTCATTCATAGGAAGTAGTCGGGAATGCGCTTCTCGCTGAGGTCCGTGGAGGGGGTGCCGCGCTCGGGGGACGGGTCGAACTGCAGGCTGCACACACACACACACAGACACACACACATATGAGCGCCCAGAGAAACCATGAGGGCCACCCACCCACTGTCTGTGTCGTGTGGTGCTGTCTGTCTGTCTGTCTATCTGGCGCTTCGCTTGTGTGGCCCCCCGGCGTGTGCTGTGCTGTGGTCGCGCAGCTCACAAGATGTATTTCATGTTTTCATCGATTTCCATGATGGCGGCCTGGTTGCCGCACCGGTAGCAGTAGTTGGGCGCAGAGAAGACCGTCACCACATTCCGCTCCTGCGCCCACGCGAAACCCTACACACACAGAGAGAGAGAGAGAGATTACAAAGTGCAGAGTGCAATCCATATGGGCTGTGGTGGTGACGTTGGTCGGCGCATGTGTGTGTGTGCTGTACTGTACCTCCATGACGAGTTGGTGTGCTCTTGCGATGAGTTTCAGGCCGTTGTTGTGGTTGAACTGCTCGCTGATGTCCTGACCAAACGTGTAACCTGAACGCACACACGCACCAATGCCGTGAGCCGTCGATGCGCGTGTGTCTGTCTGCCTGCCTGTGCGTACCTGCCCCCCGTGGTGAGATGCCCCATCCGCATCGGTCGTCGGGGTCGGACCACAGCAAATCGCACATCGGACCCTCGTGGGGCACCTCCTGGACCCTGTCAGTCAGTCATTGTCATTCATGCATGTCACAGGCACGGCTGGCTCTGTGCGGTGTGGGTGTCTGTCTGCGGCTGGGTGTACCTACCTGTCGAGCTGTCTGACGTGGTCGAGTGAGTCGATGGACGGCGACAGGCCGGCGTGGGGGCAGAAGATCTGGTTCTCTATCAGCGCACTCAACGGCAAAAAGTCAAACAGCTCTGACACACACAGGAGGACAGGACATGCATTCACTGAGCAGATGTATGTTTGGTTGGGCGTCCGCACCTGTGAAGTACCTCCACACGTTGGCGGAGCCATACTTGCGGAGGCACTCGTCGTAGAAGCCGTAAACCTGCGTGATCTGACGGCTCTCGTGGTTCCCACGGATGATGCACACTGACCAGCCAACCAACCAACCGACCAACCACAAGCACACACACAGAAGTGCATCCATCGAATGACTGGGCCATGCGTGGTGGGTGCATAAGCTCACCTACCTCTGTCTTTGTATCTGACTTTGAGTGCCACGACGAGCGTGACGCTCTCGACAGAGTAGTAGCCGCGGTCCACATAGTCGCCCAGAAACAGAAAATTCGTCTCGGGCGAATCTGCACACACCACACGCACACGTCAAACATGACGACAGACACCACACGCGAAGCCGTCTCTCCTCTGTCTGGCAGGGCAGTGAGTGCATTAATGCTGTCTGTCGTGCATACGTCCGGCGATGCGAAAGAGCTCTTTGAGGTCATAGAACTGGCCATGGATGTCTCCCACGACCGTAACGGGCACCCTGACGGGCTGGACATTGTTCTCGTTCTTGAGAATCTCCCTGGCCTTGTCGCACAAAATCTTGACCTCGCCCTCGGGCAGCGGCGAGCACTCGAGCAGCTGGTCTATCTGCTGGTCCAGCTTGTCTATCTCCAGCTGATTGAGGTACTTGACGGCCGTCTGCGGGCCAGAGCCCGACTGACCGCCGCTGCTCGACGTCGTCGCTGCCATCGCCTCAACAACACTCTCACTCGCCTCGCAAAGCTCGCCTGAACTGCCCACCTGTGTGAAGGGTGGCGCCGAAGGCAGGCGCCGGGCTTAGGGACAGGTGTCTCGTCAAACCCATAACCGACCGACCGACCTGTGTGAAGGAAAGAGTGAGGCAAAGAGGGCGTTAGATCCAGGTTGAGGTTGACGACATGGCACGAACGAACAACGAGGCGACCAATACAGAGAAGAGTCAGTGAGCACATGGGAGGAGCAGGCCGGCAGGCAGGCAGACGCAAATTCGACTTCTGCATGTGGGTGTGGGCATATGTGTGTGTGTGTGTGTGTGCAGTGCGTCAGCATCAGCTGATGAAGCGGATGAGCGCCAAGCCGTCGGGCGTGCACGAGGAGATGGACCTCGCTGTCTGCTCGGACGTCATCGGCTTCGAACAAACCGTAAGATGACAGCGCAAGACAGACAAGACAAACGCGAACCACACATCCTATGCGCATGAGAGTGAGTGTGTGTGTGTGTGTGTGTCAGCTGGCGCTGAATGCCTCGTCCAAGTTCGCCAAGATCCGCGAGATCCTCGAGGCCAACCCCACCGACAAGTGAGGAGGAAGATCGCCAGACCCACATCCGCACCCGCAACAAGGACATCACGTCACGTCCACACACACTCAATCCTGTGCTGTGCAGGTCGCTGGTGTCCGATGTGGACCGTCAGCTCATCCTGAAGATTAGCTTCAAGAACCCCGTCACCCTCACATTCATCTCCTTCAGGGCAGACGTGCCCCCCAAACCCAACCCAGACACAGCTGGCGACGGTGGTGGAGGAGGAGACGATGATGACATCAGCCCGCCGTCAATCATAAGGATATATTCCAATAAGGAGGTGGGTGGGGTGGGGTGGCTGGAGAGATCGGGCGGGAGGCCACGCGTCTCATGGATGGATGGATGGATGGGCGTGTTGTTTGTAGGATATGGACTTCGACGAGGTGGACCGATTGGAGCCCAGCCAGACCTTCGAACTCTCGAAAGAACAGCTGTAAGCTAAGCAGACAAGGGGGGGGAGGTCTCTGTCTGCAGACACACTGCATGTCCTGTCTGTTGGTACGGTGCGTGTTTCAGCTCTGGCCAGCGGTTGGTGCTGCGAGGCAGTAGGTTCCAGCGGTGCAGCTCGATCCAGATCTTCGTCGAAGACAACCACGGCGACACGTGAGAATGAATGGACTGAGCCCTCAATGCTCAATGCAATCAATGCTCATGGCATGGCCACCTTGTGTGTCCTTTCCCTTTTCCATTTCATTTGTCTGTCAGTGAGCAGACCTTCCTCAATCGGGTGTCTCTGATCGGCCGGTCGGCCGACAGCTACCACTCCTCATACAGATGATAGCCTAGCCGCCCGGGTGATGGTGAAAAAACAGACGGCCGTGTGCGTCGGCCGATGGTCGTGATGCGACGTGACCCTTGATGGATGGATGGATGGAGACGTGTGTGTCAGTGTCTTCTCCTGCCTACTTCCTTACACGAGTCTTTTTCGTGGGTGTAAAGACGATAGCTATCTATCTGCCTTGATAGGTGGACGTGCATGTGTTCGTTCGTTGATTGATTGATGCACTGATGCGTGGGGACTCTGAGTGTCCATTCATGGCTTATACAAATACAAAATGGTGCAAGTCTTGTCTTGCACAGACATTACACGTCTGGCCTGCTCTCTGCCGTGCCTCGTCCAAGGGTCAGACCTCCACACCCAAGGCTGTTGTCACGGCCAATTCGCAGGCCGCTGCAACGACGTTGGGCGGTGACGTGACACCCTTGAAGAGGCACATGCGTGTCGCTTACCGCATCTTGCCTCATGCACAGACGACATATCATGCGCGCACACAACGCCTGGGCGCTCGCGGCTCCATGAGTCCCTACACTGCCGTGCTGTGGGCTGTGCCTCATGACGGGTCAGACCCCAGCAGCGAACTCGGTCGCCGCGGCCAATTCGCAGGCCGCTGCATGCCTCCCGAGTTCGCAGACAAGATCTTACCCGTCATGAGACACAGCCACACCGCTCAGGAATACAACACCACACACACACTTCCTGGCTGGCCTCGCTCACGCTGTGGACACGCACCCTGGCCACACGGACACCTTGACAAATAGTGACTGACATGAACAATTGCACTCTGTACATGTGCACACACCGTACGCCACGTCATTGACCGGCCACATATCATCACTCACGTCAGCAGTCGAGAGGCCGCTGATAGAGCGGCGGTCTGCTGGGGCACCTCTCCGCCATGTGTGGGTGGGGCGGCCGGCTGTTGAACTCGTTCAGCTGCATCACGTGCCCACCCATCACCTGCCGGGGGCCGTCGGCGTAGAGCGTCAGCGAGTAGAGGTCGAAGTTGTGCACTTCGGCGCAGTTGATGCTGTCCGCCAGACGGCCGAACAGCCCCCCGGCCTTGTACATGGAACACACGAACGTCGAGCACACTCGAGCAGGGGCAACCACTGCCTCTTCCACGCCATTCCTGAACCACACACACCCAGACACCGCACACGTTGGCCCATGCTCGTGGTGTTCAGGATCTACACAGAGAGAGACTGACCGCTTTGTGTGGTAGGTCCAGTGGTCCTGTTCGGGTATGGTGTTGATGTCCATCATGGCGACGCCCCGCTGGCGGGCCTCCTCGAACACATCGGCAGGAGTGGTGAGGTTGGTGTCCAGCCGCCTGTTCCACGCCTGCATGTACATCCGACCCGCCAGCAGGGGCAGGTGACGATACGCCGCTGACGCCGCTATCTGCAGAACCAATGTATTAAGGAAACCCATGCATGGCTGCGGTGTGGTGTGCTTGGGTGCGGTGGTCTTGAGTATGTGACGTACGTACCTCCATCTGTTGCCATTGGAGGCACTCTGTGAAGGAAGGCGGCAGACACGGCAGGTTGTCCTGCACACACACACACACACACACACACAGGGGTGGTTGTCAACGTCAACACGGTAGGTATGCGGTCTCTGCCTGCCCCAGCTAGGTACCTTGACAGTGTCGATCCAGGTGAAGAGGATGTTCTCATAGCCGTAGTTGACGCCCTCCACACCACTGAACCACTCCAGCGCTGCCGTCGAGTTCAACGCCTCGCGAGAAGCTGCCGACAACGTCGAGTACATCACCTGCACGCAGTACACACACACATAGAGGTGTCCCTGTCTGTCTGTCTGTTCGTCGACCCGTTGGCTCACGCACGTACGTTGTATCCTGCAGCTTGTGCCTGCTTCAGCCACAGTCTGAGTGGCGTCCTCTGCAGCCCATTGGTGGGCCAGTGGCTGCTCTTGGTGGTCGCCTCATACACATACGGCTCGCCGTGTTCGTCATGGAAGATGACCGCCTCATGCCCGTCCGTCGCCCCCATCCCCCACGCCAGCATCGGGTCCAGCCCGTCGAGCCGCAAAATGTTGAACAGGTCACCGTCCCTCACCTTGCTCACATCCAGGGGGTCAAGCGGCCCTTCCACAGGAGGCAGCACCACCCCCCTATACTTTGCAAGGAAATCCAGGTTGCTCCTCTCCGCCAGGGCATCCGGCCGTCGTGCGGTCAGCGGCCGGAAGAGCAATAGCGTGGCCTTCAGGCTGTGAAGCGTCTCTGCGGGCGGCAGCGAGAAACGGAACACCCTGATGCCGTTGGCCAGCAGGTCGGACCTCTCGGCCGCAGACAGGCTGCTGTGAAGGGGCCAGTGGAAGTGGACGGCTCTGCGGAAGGGCTCGGGGCGCAGCGAGCGGAGATGGAGGCCCTCGAGGGTCGCCAGGAGGTAGTGGTCACCACACGGCGGGAAGCGGGAAGTGGGATGGCCCAGCTCTATGGACACTGTCATGGCGGGATCGACGCCGTTCCAGCTGGCATGGGCAGAGCTGTGAGGAAAGCAGGATCCGCCCAGAGCCTTGACAGTGCCGTTGACAGGGAGGTTGGTCACATAGGGCGGCAAGAAGCGCCAGTAGGGGTACAGATGGAAGTCGGTCTCCTCTTTCCGCATTGGCGCGTCTGGCTGAGCGACCTCCTCGACGATAGGGAGCAGGTCGGTCACCATCCTCTCCAGCAGCTCACGAGGCGACTCGATGAGGGCATGGGAGTCGACGGGCTGCACTCCGCCCATGACGAGGGCGAACGAGTCCCCGAACTTGAGCGTCGTCTGCGGCAGGATTTCCGACCAGCTCACCGGCCGCTGCTGAGTCCGCACCGCTGTTTGCCGGAGAAGCATGGCTGCGGCAAGCAACAGAAGGGTGAGCAGGCCGAGAGTGAAGATGAGCCGTGGCTTGAGGAGGGCGCGGGCGACATTGAGGTGATTGGCTGGTGCCGCTGTTGTTTCTGGTGCTGGTGCATGGTGCTCATCTTGCTGCAGAAGAGGTGACTGTCGCGCGGTCCTCCAGTGCGATGCGTCTTCAAAATAAGATGACATTGTCGATGAATCAGGCGTGGTTGGTTGGTTGGTCATTTGGCGTGAGCGCTGAGCCACGTTAGCTGAACTGGCCCTGCACTTGTTGACCCCGAGCCCTTCTCCTCCTTCCTTTTCCTCTCTTTCCTCCTTCCTTCTTGCGAGCCTTTTTGCGAGCTGTGTTCGGTTTCGACAAAGGCATTAAACTCACACACAGGGGATGCACACACATGCATGGGTGTCGTCTGCAGGGCCTCGCAAAGGAAAAACCACAACGGGCCCCTCCCTTCCCTCCCGTCTAGATGTCTGTGCGTATGTCTTGAGTCACGTCGGCTCGTCAGTCAGCGGTCTCCTTGCCCCAACACCCGACAGCCTACACACACACACACACACACACACCGAGAGAGATGCATGTGGGATCGGTTGTGTGTGTCTGTGGTGTGGTTACCTGGAGCAGCTGCACCAGTGCCTCGCGCATTTCGCTGCCGGTGAGTCCAACAGTCAGGAGCCCGGAACTGATCGGCATGCCGTTCCACTGATGCACCCAGTTCACTATCCCGTGTCGAGGAGCCTCGGGCACCGAAGCTAAGAAGTCGGACAGCCTAAAGCTGGTTCCACCCATAAGCACCTACTCGCCCATAGAGCCAATCTGCATTCCGTGAAACCGCTCCTCCTGCGAGCTGAGAGACGAGAGAACGAATCGAGAACGAATGAATCGAGATCTCCTTCCTATCTCTCATCCGCATCTGTCTATGTCTTCGTCTCGTCTACAGAACCTCCGCTTTGTCACTGTTGCTTCGCTCCTCAGCCGACTCCCCGGTGGCCGCCAACTGATAGCATCTCCCTGTGCACTTAACGATGTCGGCGTTCTATCGACTCCCCGCGGCGCTGCTCATTCTTGCCGTGGTCTTCTCCCCCTCCGCTCTTGCACAGGTCAATCAATCAAAGAACACACACTGCCAGTCCAGTTGCATATGGATGCAATGCATGTGTATCTCCTGCTGTGGCCGCAGGTCGCGGACGTTAGCAGCACCGCAGCGGAACTGCCCTTTTTTTCGGTGGTCGGGATAGTGTCCAACAAGAGTGTGCGGTTCCGCATGGACAACTGCGGGCCGGGGGACGTGACCTTCAGCGCCATCGATGGGAACAATGACACCGTGCACTTATTTCTTGATGAGCAACTCATGACACACGTGCCCTTCGGCGACTCTAAGGAGCTAACGCTCAAGTGGACGGCAGATGGTGACACCGAGCTGCTGAGTCTGACGCTCTTCGGCGACTTCTCATCGGATCAGCCCGACCCGTCGATTCGTGAAGGAGAATGCGTCCCGGAGTGTGCACTGCTGGAAGCAAAGGCCCTTGGGGGCATGCTTCACCTGAAGATGGGCAGCAACGTCTTCCCGTAAGTAACCTGCACACGCTGCATCCCATCCTGGCTGACATTCATTCACACACTGGGTTTCTGGTTTCTGTCTGTGTGTAGGTATGATCTCGTCAACTTGGTCGAGCGCAACGGCGAGGAGCTGCCCAACTCTGGGATAGTCATTCCCAAGTACGGGTCGACAGACCAGCCGCAGCTGGAGTTCCTCGAGATGATGAACGAAGGTGACGACCTGTATGCGGCGCTTATGCCCAAGGACGACAAGGATGGCACTGGGCCGCTGATTTTCGCGGCCTTCCAGAATTGGCGGTCGGATTGCTCTCGACGACGCATGTTGAGAGCTCAGGGGAATGCGGTCATCGACAGAAAGATCGGGCCGACGCGCTAGGCTGGGCGTTGGAGTGAGCACGCCACTCAGGAAAAGGTGAGGATGATAACGAACCCATCGCAGCAAGACACCATTCCAGGTCTTTGGCTTACGCGTCTCTTTGCCTCCTTGCCGTTTTGCTTTGAGTGTGCAGGTTTGCGCATCATTCGTATGCCATCGCGGGTACAAGCGGAGCCGGCAATGGGACGGAATAAGCGTCTCTTGTAGTTTGTGCGTATGTTTGTCGTTGTGGTTTTGTGTGCCTGGGTTGGGTTGAGTGCGTCAGTGGTTGTGTGCCTGGGTTGGGTTGAGTGCGTCAGTGGTTGTCGTCGTCATTCTTCTTCATCCATTCACGTCGATTGTCCGGGTTTTGTCCATCATTTGGCCACGTGTGTCATGGTGTCTGTGGTGGGTGGGTCGGTGTCACGGACATAGTCAGGCGAGCGCCTGCAGTAAGGACACGCACATGCGCTTTTTTCAGCCGCCTGTTTTTAAGGCTGGGTGGGCAGACAAGTCGTATAGCCAGGTGATGGGGTGGATCCGTGCTAGGTTGTCTGTTGCATTGGCACGTGGTGCGAGTATGTGTGTGCAAGGTGAGTCGATTGACACAGTACATTTCAGCAGAGAGAGACGTGCCTTCTCTCCATGAATTGTTCTTGCCAATGGTTGATGAATGGTCGTTGATGAAGGCGACAAATCAGCCAATAGGACCAAATAAGGATGGATGCAATCGATCACGCGCTGCATGCGAGCTTGGAATGAAAAAAAGAAAGTGCCATGAAGAAAATATGACTGAGGTAAGCCAAGGCCTGTTGTAGACGCGGTGCGGTGTGCATGCAGGCTGATCTCTGTCCGTGTCGCGTACAGGGGTCGCATCTTGCTGGTCTGAGGAGCAAGTGTGCTCAGCTGGCGGCACTCCAGCAAGGCATCGAGGAGCTTCGTCAGAGGGTGACTGAACACAAGACAGACAGATGATCCACCCGGCTGCACCCGTGCCGCACTGCTGCTGCGTGTCTGTTGCGTGTTGTCTGCAGGCTGGGAGGGTGTTGGAACTTAGCCGCGATAGAGATGACTCATCGCAGCCGCCCGGAATCAGAGCCTCAGAGGTGAGATCAAGCTGGACACCATGACACATGAAGGTGCTCATTTTGTTTGTGCGCTGCTGGCCGTTGGTTCCTTCAGCCTGTCCGTGGCCAGTGTGCGGTGCTGGTAAGCCTCCTCCAGAGGCTTGGTCATGACGACCTACGGCCGAGTGAAGTGGAGTCGCTCGTGCATCTTGCCAACACCAAATGTGACACCATCTCGGCCATGCTGCAGCGACCGGTACGCGGACACCTACACACCACAAGTCGCGCATTGAGCTGACTGGCAACACACGCAATGCTCCTTGTGTGTGTGTGTGTGTGTCAGTCTTCGTCCGTACCGTCTCTCATCACACTGCCCGAGTCGTGCTTCAGCGGCCACATCGGCCCCCTCGTCGGCACCAAGACCATGATCTCCAAACTCGCCCCGGCACACTCGGCCCTGCACACCATCTCCCGCAAGCCGGTCACACACAAGACCATCCATCTGGGCAAGTGCTTCTACTTCGCCATCAAGATGACTCCGCAGCAGATGGCTGTGTGGGGTCCGGCATTCAGCAAGGCCAAGCGGGCGGTCTTGGCATGTGCGCCGACCCTGGGCGTAGTGGAGCTGCTCGAGCATGCGGCCAAGACGCTGGAGGAGCTTGAGGCGTGGTCGGATTGTTATCATGTAGACAAAGCCGTTGGCGAATGGCTGCGGGGCCGACAAAGGAGGGAAGAGATCGTCTTCCCCCTGCTGGCGCGCGTCAAGGTGGCCGGGTGGTGGATATGCGTCGCCAACAGGCGGCACTGGAAACTCATGTAAGCCAGACACATACGGCACATTCGCATCCGTCTACTCACTGTCTGCCGGTCCATCTGTCTGCCTGTCTGTCTCTCTGTCAGCTCGCTCGTCGATATCCACCTTCGCGACATGTATGTCGAGGATGACAGCCGTTGGGACGATCCCGAGAAGTGCTCTGGCTACAACGGCGTCGCTTGCAGCGATTGGCTGGGGGCAGGCCCGGGACCGCACCATCTGACGCTTGAGGTCTCATGGGGTGACGGCTGGCAGATCGAGGACCTCCGCCACATGCTCAAGCCATCCATCAAGTGAGAAGAGAAGAGAATATCGGCGTGTGTCCACCTATGTAAGACACTTTGTATGCGCGTGTGTGTGTACTGTCCATGGCAGGCGCCTCAAAGGCCTCCAGTGCGTTCCAGTGAGCCGGTGGCACCTGGACGATGTTGTCGACATCCCGCTCCAGCTGGACGACCTTCAGATAGACGTCGACCGCGCAGTCAATTTCGAATTCTTACAGGTACGTGAAGGCTATATGCCCACATACAGATGCAAATGTGCCGCATGCATGTGTGTGCCCGTCCATCAGATGATTGCGCATCTTCGGTCCACATGGATGGCCCCCAGCGGCGTCATCACCTTCACCTGCCGTCATGACGTCACCTTTGACGTCCTGCGAGAGCTACAGCACTTGGAGGACTGCCCGTCTTTGGCTGGCACACTTTTTTATCTCGCTTCTCTCGTCAAGCGTGTCGTGTTTCCTCATGGGCTGGGACAGGGGGAGGCAGTGCCGTCTGTCGTACTGTATCGGCTCCCTCAGCTGGTCTTTTCGCAAGCTGAGAAGCTGGACTTGTCCCGTTCTGCTGTTGGGTCTGACTCCCTCCCTGACGTTTTTCTTTCGCACATATCTGATGCCCACTTTCCTCGCGTCACAACACTCGAGCTGGGACAGGCAGTGGGGATCAGAGCTCAGGAGGTAGTGAGGCGGGCCACAGATCTCAAGTCGATCAGAGAGCTGCATTTTCAGAAGGGTGGACGGGTTTCTGTGCCGTTCTTCTTCCCTCGCTGCTTGGGGGCGTGCAGCCAGACAGGCCCGCCTCTGCACATCAAGACTCGGTACATGGACTCGGCTGATGTGAGGGTCGACACGAGCGTGTGGGCGCTATGGGAGGGCGGGGGTGGGAGTGAGGGGCAGAAGGGGGTGGAGAGGCGCATTCAGAAGATCAGTGTCACAGTCCATTGGGAGCGTACCACCAGACAGACAGGCAGAAGAGCTGGCAAGAAGGGGGTGAGCAGTGAGGCAGCGAAGAAGAAGGGAGGCGATCAGGAAGGGGATCGGGGCATCTTGAAGACGTGCCTGCACGCCATGGACAAGTGCCCTCTCCTCGACACGATTGTCCTCACTCTCTGCGGCTTGTCTGACTTCTCCGGTGATGAGCTAGAAGCCAGTCCTGTCGAAGCCAGTCCTATTGATATGGTGGGGGTCAGCTCTGAGGCAGTCAAAAACCGGCTGCTATCGCGTGGCTTCGTGGCGGTGCAGACAGGCCCCTCATGTGTTCAATTGTGTTGCGTGTTTGGCCGTCTGTTCCCCCGATGGCTGGTTGAAAATGTGTCTGGCCTCTCCCTCTCTACCCCCTTCTCACGCCATGCGTCAATGGATGACACTGTGCCGCTGTGTGAGGCTGTGCTGGCACATGTGGGCATGCGCTTTCCTCGTTTCATAGCCCGGCAGCTCAGCAATGAGTTGGAGAGGGCTGTGAAAGCAGAGGCACGCGGGTGTTGGCACAGACTCAGACGTGAGGCGCGGCGCAAGAAGGGCATGAGTCAATAGATGCCGGATGGCTGACTGGAATAGCTGCCAAAACGCACACATATGTGTCCTGTCTACCTGAATGAATGCACTTGAACCGACCCGTCATGGATTCAAATATCGCTCGAAGTGCATATTACAGGAGTGTCCTTCCAATCCCCTGAGACACACGCACGCCATGCAACCTCTATTCAACACCCACTCCCGAGATTGCACCACGCAGCTATCGTCTTCTTTTCCCTCCAGACGTCATTATCAATCGACGGTGTTTGCCCAGCCCACCAGTCCTGGCCTCCTCCCTCCCATCAGCCGCAGCCTTGAACCTCACTCCAGCTGTAGCCGTTGCACTGGCCGTGATCCCCCCCTCTGACTTGTCTTCGTCCTGCACCACCAGAGGGACGGCCACAGAAAGCAAGGAGCTCTCCGCAGGGGCGGTGCGGAGCTCCCTCGTCTCTGAGTTGTCTCCCGGCCCTGACTCTCGGGAGGGCGGCAGCTTTCGAGATGGAGGGCTGCGGAGAGACGGGAAGGGGTCTGCCACAGCTGGCAGCTCTGACGGCCAGCTGGTGGTGTCTGTCTGCATCAGCGGGTCGGCCTGTCCAGACGGTGGGCGGGCGGATGGCACATCAGAGGCCGCAGAAGAGTGCATCGACTTGACCCTCAGAGGCAGAGACGTCCACCAAGGGGAGGAAGGTGGGGCTCTCAGCACTGCACGGCGCATTGTCCTCGTCGACCGGATCGGGACAAACACTTTCGGCACGGCATACTTGGGCTTCGTCGTTGGCCTGTCCTCCTGCGCCCTCTGCGACCTGGGGGAGAGGATAGTCGGCTTGAGTGATGGGGGGAGGGGTGTCGGCTCATTCGCACGCTGGATGAGAGCCGCCTCGGTTATCTCACATCGTGTTCGTGGCGGCAGCTCGGTTGACAGAGTGATGGTTGAAGTGTCGACGGGCATCGCTCGGGGAAGCGGCTCTCGCGGCGTTCGGAGACTCGCGAGAGACACCTCATAATCATCATCTTGTGTGCGCGACTTTGGCCGCATTCCCGTGTCGATGCGAGCGTCGCCTGGCTGACGTTTGGGGCGGGGAGGGGGGCGGGGAGGGGGGCGGCGATAGGATGGCCGCACTGTTGTCCCGTGGTCCTCAACATGAACGCGAGGCGTCCAGAGATTCTAAATGAGAAAAGACATACCAGAGGTAGACCATTCCATGTCTGTGTCTCACTCGCTGACCGTGGATTTGTTGAGCAGCAGAAAGGCTACGGGCCCCATTTGGCTGATATCTTGTCCCATGACCTCAACAAACTCCTCCCTCTTCTCCAGCAGACACGGCTGGTAGCTAGACCGATAAGACACCATGGCACTGGCCTTAGCAATCCGGGACGTGTCGAGCGGCAGATCCGTCTGCGTCCGAGCGGTGGTCGGCTCGGTGGACGGGAGCGTCGTACGCTCAGTCCGCCTGCGACGCTTGCGGCGACTAATGGTGACCAGAGAAGAGGACGGGAGACAGAGTGATGATGTTCCTTTGTGTCTCGTCTCTCTGTGCCGAACATGGCTTACGTCGGTGGAGCTGCCTTGCACGTGTGGATCAGGATATCCATGAGTGCCGCCTTCTCAGGCGACAGCGGCTCCACAAGGCTAGAATCCTCCACACGCCGCCGGAGGCAAAGCCGTCTCATCGAAGTGCCGAGTTCAGTCGATCTCTTGGTAATCGGCTGCACCACCTCCTCCTCGCCGCTCGGCTGCCTGCGAGCCCTCTCAGGGCTCACTGCCCGGCTGGCCGGCGCAGAGAACGACAGATACGGCAGCGGCATGCCCGGCAGCACCCCGTCAGCAAGAGCAGCCAGCAGCTGGTCGTCCGAATCCTCCCGTTGCATCCTCGGCAGCTGCAGCTGGGTAGCGGACGATGGCCGTGTCTTGGACAGCCGAGAGCCCCGCGACCGAATGCTTGAGCTGGCGGAGGATCCCTCACGCCCGCCTTGGGTGAGAGATAGGCTGCGTGAGGGGAAGGCCATGCCGGGCATCATGGCTGTGGGCGACTCGGACAACTCCTCCTCGGGCGTCTCTATCCAGCGCCCTTCTACCGGCTGTGTCCACCCAATGGATGTCGGTAGAAAGCCTTTGAGCCAGCTGGTCTGGGGGATGACGGACAAATGACTGTCGAAGCCGATCAGCAGGTCGCCGGGGCTTTCATTGGTCTACATGCCGATACAGAAACAAAGAAGGTAGGTGACGCAGGGCGAATTGCTGAGTGACAACATTACTTGTTTGAATGAGATGTATGTGAGTGGACTTGGGAAGGCGATCTGCTTCAGGATGGTCAGGCTGCGGTTCCAGATACGCACCTCGTGAGCCACACTGCAACACATACACACAACACAGCTATGCGTATGTAGAGCCGCATCTGTGTCGCGGCACTGTGTTTTCCCACCTGATCGAAGCAAAGACGTTAAGGTTGATGGAGTAGTCGATCTGCATCACCTCTGTGGCATGGATCTCACCAACGACCTCTGTCCACCGATGTCGCCGCCGACGTGAGCCGGTCTTCTCTATCGACACCACCTGCACACATCAGACAAGACAATGGATCAGACACCGACTTGTTCGTGCCTTGGCTGCTGAGACAGGCAGCTCACGTGTCCTGTTGTCGTGCCCACAGCAATGCCCCCAAACTGCAAAGCGATTTCATCACGCTGTACGTCCATCCAGCGCTCGTTGCCACTGTCAGCTGACGAAGAGGCTGAAGAAGAGGAACCGCTCTCACCGTCAGGCTCCTTAAAGCCAATACTCCTCCGCTTGAGAGTCGTCGATCGGCGCTTGTACGGCGTTTCAGCAAGCTGGGTGGTCTTGCGGGAGGGCCGCTCCACGTGTCTCTCGAGGAAAGGCGCGAACGAGACAGGCAGGCCATAGACGCTTCCCCCCTTGAGCGCCAGCCGCTCGACAATCCTTGCCTTCTCCACATCCCAAATCGTGAAGTTGAGGGTCACGTCAGTGAGGATGACCTTGGCTTCAAGCGGCGACAAAATCACCTCCATCCCAGCAATCTTGGTGGTCAGCGCGCGGTACCTCCCGTGCAGCTGGATGGGCGGAGCCGCCGCAGCACTGGGGTAGGGCCGCTGGGCCGCTGGCCTGTTCTCGAGCACCTTTTGCATCTTGATGTTCTGGTACCAGATGAGGTGCATCGACGCACGCCTGTCCGCCTTTACCACCGTGCGCCGGATTGGGTTGATCATCACATCGGCGCCGCCCATCCGGTATCCCTCTGGAGGCAGCACTTTGGCCACGTCCTCGAGCGTGATGCGACGGCTGCCCGGTTTGTTCGACGTGAGGGAAGCTCGAGAGCTGGAGGAGTGAGAGCGGTCGCCGCCGAAAAGCGCCTTGTGGAGCTTTGGGGCTGATGCCCTTGGGCGTGTGGGGGTGAAGAGGCTGCTGATGCCGTCCTCAACGGCAGGCATCGGCGCAACTGATTGCTTCGGAGCGGACCGATGGATCCACGACATGATCTCAGGCTCCAGATGACCGGCGTACACACTGCAACAGAGAGGCAGGAGAGTAACTCCTGTCCATTCCTGAGCTTCTCACTGACTGACCGTTTGACATCTGCCCATGCGGGACTCGTATGTAGAATGTCTCGAAGTCGGACGGCGAGGAGCCGCCCCGCCTCGGTGCCCAGCAGCACCACCCAGTCACGATGAGCTGGGGTGGCTCGATGGGCGGACTCGCCCTCCGTTGACGGTTGTAGTGTGCCCGGTCGTGTGTGGAGGATGCGTGTGGCGGGGAGGAAGCCCGTGCCACCGAGAAGCTCATCCATCTCTGGAGCGTCGCAGAAGCTGGTCGTCATCGACTCGAAACGATCACTGAGAGCCAAAATAGTCGTGTCTCACTTGTGCTCGTGTGTGTCGGTTCATCTGCTCTTTGATCTTCCTTACACACAGAATGAGACGAAGTCGCTGTCCGACTCGGATGAGCGGACCTCAATGGACGAGAAGCGGCGCAGGAGGATCGGCGTGACCCCCAGCTCGTCTCCATTCGCCCCGTGCGCTCTCGCCGGCTCTCGACGGAGCAGCTGGCGCGACGATTTGCTTCTCGTCATCCGCCGCTGTGTCTTCGCCACACTTCTCCTTTTCTTCTTTCGCCTCCTGAATCTGCTTGTGGTGGTGCTCTTGTCGCTTTTCTTCTGTCGCACGTGAGTTTGGTGTGATGCGGGCGAAGATGGCCGTGAGGCGCTGTCGTGGGGCGAGTCTGGTCGGGGAGGCGCGAATGGCGGAGTGAAGAAGACCGCGACCTCAAAGGACGACAGCAGGAGGATAATCATCCTCAAAGACGACAGGAGACACACCTTGAGCACCTGCATAGCGTGGACCGAGAAATAGCAGTCACGGTAGCGTCCTAGCGCCGATGTATGGCTTTCGACTGACCTGAACTGATGTGGGCGGCGAGAGGGCCACTGTGAAAACCTTCGACGGGACATGCAGTACACGGACGGCGCTGTCACGGGTTAGTATCGAGAGACACGAATTGCTGCATGCAGCAATCGCAAAACGACGTGGAATAAGAGCATGCCTCCTTGTTTCTCCCTGATCCCTCACCCTTTCTCAGAGTCCTTGGTCACAAGGGCCATGGGCTGGTCATCGTCATGGCCCTGCTCATGAGACTCCCAGCCCTCCTTCTCGTCGGCTGATGACGCATAATCCACTGCCGCTTCGACAACGCCGCCATCACCCCTCAGACGAGCCGCGAGCGTTATGTTGCCCTGGTCGAGGCCCAATGCCAATACTGACAGGTAGACAGACAGATGGAGAGATCGATCCTACGTGCGGCCAGCTGGTACCTGAAGGGCTAGTGCGGAAGCCCCAGAAGTGTTTGACACGAGAGAGGGGCTTGAGGGTGTACCTGGCACTTGACAGCAGCGTCGTCAGGTCGGGATAGACACTCACGATACAGCTCTGGTTCGTGTAGGCCACCGGTCGCGCAAGCCGGGCCGTCAGCCGCACAACAGTGATCTCCTGAACGTCCTTCTTCCCAGCAGCCGCCGCGCTCCCCTTGCCCTTGCCGGGGCCCCCTGCCTGGTGACTGCCCGTCGTCAGGGCGAAAAAATGCCGACCGATTGCGTCGATGCGCCTGATCTCCATCGCTGTCTGCGAGGACAGGGCCGCCTGCAGCGGGCATGTATAGAGACAGGTGAAGACGCGCAGCGACCAGATGCGAATAACAGCGTCCATGCCGATAGACAGCGCCCACTTCTGCGAGCGGTGGCGCGATGGCGGGTCGAAGAAGCACACATAGTGGACGCCGCGCTGATGGCCGATAAACGTATGCTCCAGTCGAAGGGCGAACGTGAGGTGCACTACGGAACCGCAGACAGTTCAGGATACTCTCAGTCGTCATGCTTCGGCTTACCTTCTTCTTCCTCTTCGCCAGCAAAGCCAGCAAGCGTCCGATGCTGCCCGGTGTGTCTGCGCGAAGCGGGTGACATGGCGCGGTCAGCTTCGATCACTTGCGTCTCCATACGTTCATAGCCAGCCCTCGGAGACACCTCGCCTGTCTCTGCCTCGAACCAGCTGGCCGCCTCGGACCTCTCACCCTCCGGCTGCTGCACCTTATCCTTTGCGGCGCTGCTCGACCCCGATGAGCTAGAGCGGTCGCCAGGAACAGGCGACTTCTTTCCTGATGACAGCTGCTCGCCTGCGGCTCCGTCCTCCGTGTACTTCCATATGTTGATGCGCGAGGACCGCTGCCGATTGGCCGCGATAATGTTGTTGACCACGGCGTCACCGGTGAGGATATCGCCGCCTGTCTCGTCCCCCGCTGGCCCTGGCTGCACCCCAATGTCGGCTGGGGAGAGCCTGTCGGAGAGGTTGAGGTAGGACAGCCAGTAGTTGACGCGGTTGTCCAGACTGCCGGTCAGCAAGATCGTCTCAAGTTTGGACACTACTTGGAGGTCGACGGATGTGATGGGCTCCCGATGCAGCCGGTGGCCTTCAGCCCTCAAGCGCAGCCCAAAGTCAAGTATCCACACCGTCGACTCCTCGGTCCAGACGGCGATCCGCCGGTGGGCCAACGATACCCTGATGCCGAGGATGGCGTGCTTCTTCGTCAGCTCCAGAAGACCGTCCCAGACGGGAATCATCTCGTATCGAAATGGGTGTTTCCTCGCAGTCTCCGGATCCTTGACGCTATTCTCGGCCCGCTTGTCTTCGGCCGATGGCCGAAGGATGAAACTGTGGAGGCCGTGTGGTGTGCCTGCCAGCACCACCGCCTCCTTGCGTTCAGGGCCGGATGGGGCGCCGCCACGGCCGGCGGTCTGTGCTCGTGGGCTTCGGATGAAATGGCCGATACAAGAGACCTTCTCTGGCGCTGTGAACGTCTCCAGCAACTCGAGAGACTCGCTGAGGAAAGAAAAACAGAGGAGAAAGGCATACATATAATTTGGAAATCACACAGCGTGATGTGCTTGCAGCTGACCTGTACAGCCGCCATGCCAAGTCGACATCGGCAGTGACGATGACTCGGAATACCGCCACGGAGTCGACTGCACTGATGATATTCCTGCGCTGCTGGGGGAAAGTGATCCGCCTCTGCTCCCCCTCATTGTCCCACACTCTTGCCGTCCTGCAGAAGAGGAAAACATATGAGAGGGGCTTTCACATGTTGAGATCTCCTTGCAGAGCTGACGTGTCATCTGAGCTGACGTTTCGTCTGCGCTGAGGAATATCCCCTCCCGCAGCTGCTTGAAGTGCTGAATGACTGACTTGTGCTTGGAGAATGTCACCTCCGTTTGCAGGCCGAACGACAGCCGCCCGCCAGCAGCAACCGCCTCTGCCATCGTGTCGTTCGAAGTGGGGGCCGAGAGGGGGCCTACGCGTCACTGAGTCAACTTGAAGAGGCAGTGCGATGGACCGGATGCGCTTGGTTGTCCCTGCCGCTATGGTAATGAGGGAGAACACAACGCACATGCAACGATGGACTTCCTCTTCTTCTCTTCGCCGTGACAGTGTACGCTTGGTTGAACTTCTGTCCCTTCTTGTGCCTCTGCAGAGAGATGCGGGTGCTCGACAGCTGGCGCCAGGGCCTCCTGCTGCCGAGAAGATGGCCCTTTGTTACCTTCTCTTCGTGCTGGTAGAGGATAATCATCCTTTCATAGTGCAAGTTTATGTTTTCTGGTGCTCAGATGCACTCCAGGCTGGCCTTCGCTCTGATGCACTTACGATTGCCCAGGCGACGAAGGCACAGGGAGCAAGGCAGGCGGCATCTGACTGCAAGACCGAGCGAAAGGGATGCTGAGGAAGTTGCCCGTCTGCCTTCGTTTTTCCCGCTCTCCGTGGCGGTGGGAGAGAGAGAGGCTGACGAGCTGCGGCTTCAGCTGGAGTACATCGGCCAAGTCATCATAGATGACACCGACAGCAGCTCTCAAGGCGAGGATGATTCCGAGGGTCTAACGGTGATTGAGGTGGAGTGCCGTCGCTGCCTGCTCCAGCCAGAGACTCGGAGCACTTCCATCAAGGAAAGGAATGGAAGGGAGCCTCGCGGCGGGCAAATGCGCGGATCCGGAAGGGGGGACTTGTCACGAAGGCCGTTAGTCGTGGGGAGAAGACCTGCTACCCTGACGACTCTCAACTACCGAGTGCCTTTAGCACGAGGTCTTGATCTCGATGAGCCGCTCAAGGCCTTCGCGGCCTCATCTAAGTGAGAGACGCGGCCTGTGGATGAGAATGTGAGCATTCGTGAGTTGATCGACAGTGACATTATGTATACATATGTATGTATACTGTGAGACACAGAAAGAGTGAAGCAATCGGTATGACATAGTGAGTGACTTGGGCAGTAAGTGAGTGAGTGAGTCAATGCTGCTGGCCGATAGAAAGGGGAAGCGAAAGCGCTACATACCGCGGGCGGCCAAGGGTGAGGTGGTCGGCGGCATCTTCGCGCAAATCAAGGCTGCCAGGAGGGAGGAGCCGTCAAAGGCCAACAGCATCCATGATAGACAGCAAGGAGACCACGGCAAGCACACACCCACACACACGAGAAAGACAACACACGCACGACTGTCTGCTTTGTGTGTAAATAGGAGTGAGTCATCCTGTCGAGACGCCGCCACAAGGCCTAGGACAGCAGCGGCCACAGACACGCAGCCCATCGCAGCCACACGCCGATGCCGACGATAGCCCACCAAGTGAGTGAGTGACGCAATGCACCAAACATGAGACACATATACACACATGCATCCCGGCCATCATTTGCAGCGTCCGATGGTTACTTTGCAGCGTTGCGCCGCGAGCTGTACCAGCTGTGCGAGCGGCCGATGATGGACAAGGCCTTCTACACCAAACGGTCAGCCAGCCTCAGAGCCCTGGAATGTGTGTCTCTCTGTGTGTGTCCCACAACAGCTTGTCTCGCAGCATGTTTGCCCCACAACCCAACAAGGCCACTGCACAGCCGCCGATGCCATCGGTGCGTGAGGCCGACCACCCGCTTGCAGCGTCTGCACATGATCAGTGGAACGATGAGGGTCGCTATCCCATGTCACCACTCATGCACATGCACTCGTCTGCTGACGGCCTCAACGTGGACGACCGCCGCCCACGGCCGCACCAACACACAGGGTATACACATGCGCACAGACAGACAGGGACGGAGGTAGTGAGGAAATACAGAGAGACACACCCTGTTTGCCTGTTGGTTTGGTCGTGTCAGGTCTGTCGGCTTTCGCCAGCTCGCCAGTTCGTCATCAGACTCGTTCCGCCTCAACCAACACAACAATGCCAACCCAAACATGAGTATGCAGGTCGGTCAGTCAGTCAGTCAGTCAGCCCACCAGCATCAACATCTCTCTCTATCTGTCTCTCTCAGGGCGAGTGGAGTTCGTCGCTGCCACGCCATGATGCCTTACGTCGACTCGACGCCAGTCCGGCCCATTCTTCCTCAAGCCACGACAATTCCGATACATGAACGGCTGTCTGTGTGTGTGAGTGGAGACGGACCGACGATGATGACTGATATGGATGGATGGATGGATGGACGTGTCTGTGTGTTGGGGACACATAATTGTTTCGGAAGACATCTCTTGTCAGGGATAGGGCCAACCCGAAACGACAAACCTTGTAGGAAAGGCCTCAGGGCCAGTTTCCATATACACCGCCACACGTCAGCCAAGTCGTCAGACAGGGAGAAAGATCGACTGATCCGGACATGAAACGGACACGTATCCAACCAGGAGCTAACCATACACAAGAATCCCCCAGCCCGACGCACAGTGGGCAAGCACCCCTCCCTATTTGTGCCTCTTATCTCCCTTTTTTCGACGTCTGGATGGATGGATGGATGGATGGACGTGTCTGTGCTCCAGTCACTCATCAGTCAATAATTCCTTTCACTGTACATGTCCGTCGCATCTCTGCCTGTCCCGCTAATACACAGACGCACATGTGCACATTCCGCAACCACCTCTGGATCATCTATCGAAGTCCGTAGGTAACCAAAAGCCATTCACTGTCATCCCCCCATCCACAGCAATGTCTTGCCCGGTAATGTACTCACTGGCAGGCATGCACAGAAATGCGACCAGCCCGCTCACCTCCTCAGGCGTGCCAACTCGCCGCATTGGCGTCCTGTCCAGCACAGCTTTGCGATAAACGTCATCCTGCAGCACCTCGTTAGCCATCGGCGTGCCGATGTACCACGGCGCGGCACAGTTGACCCTGATTCGGTGCTTCGCCCACTCACACGCCAGGTTGGCTGTGAACTGCGACATGGCAGCCTTTGTGATGGCATAGGGAACGCCGCTGCGCATTGCTGATGTCCTGATGCCCGACACAGATCCCACATTGACAACTGCGGCCCAGCTGCCGTCCTTGGACTGGCTGGCAGAGCGTTGCAGGAGGGGGAAGGCCAGCTGTGTGACGTCCCACATTGTCCGGAAGTTGGTGTCGAAAACGGCGTCAAACTCGTCCCGCGAGAAGGAGAGGAACGGCTTCCGAATGTTTCGTCCCACATTGTTGACGAGGATGCTGAGAGTGCCTGCAGCCATGCAGACAGTGTCGATATGGACATTTCTGCGTGTGGCCACTGCCTGCGTACCGTCGAATTGTCGTGACACGTCCTTGATGAGTCTTATCTGGTCCTCCACGACAGTGAGATCAGCTACGGACCCACTCACATCATACCTGCACATACCCAGGGTGCACTTATGTAGCAGATCTGTATGTTTCATTCCTCATACCCCTTTTGTTTCCACTCTTGCAGACATGTCTTGAGCTCTGCTTCCGTCCTCGCACACGTGTGGACACTCGCACCCAGTGCAGCCAGCTCCTCAACCTGCAAGCATGGCCAAACGCTCATCGCACAGAAACAGACATTCATGCACTTTCTCTCTTTTGGCAGTGTAGTGTAGTGCAGTGCAGTGCAGTGCAGTGCAGTTCAGTGCAGTGAATGGCTCACAATGGCTTTGCCAATGCCCTTCGTTCCCCCTGTCACGAGGGCACGACGCCCTTTCAGGTGCCACCGAGATGAGCCAACCGCGCACGACGCAAGCAGCAACAAGAAGGCTCTGTAAGACACACGCATCTAGATACGCATGACCTGCTCTGCCTTTTCGTTGTGAACACGTTTTACGGAGGCAAACTCAGGGGTTAGGGCACTGCGAGCTTTTTTGCAACCGCTGTTCCTCCCTCTCCCTCCCTCTCTTCTCTTTTCTCCTTCTTCACCCCCTCTCCTTAGCTGTGTACTGCGTGATTGGGTTGATGGCTGCCGTAGCTGTGCAGTACAGCCAGGCGCGGCTGCAAGAGTCGCCCTCATTCGGCTCCTCGTACATCAGGTGAACACACACACAGAACAGACGAGGGGGGAGGGGGCAGGAGGCGAATACAGATTGGAGGAGGAGAGAGGGTCGTGTGGGTGAGGGGTGAGGTATTTCGTTGTTCTGCTGTGTCTGTGTGGTGTCAGGGTGGAGGTGGGCAGCACTGTGACGCCCACGACGGTGAGCAGAGGCGTATTCAGCGAGAAAGGCGTGCAGAGTGACACCGCGCCCCCACCCACCCACATGACGTCTGTGTTGACTCTACAGGCGTTTCGTTTGGAGGTGTCGCCAGAGAATGCTCCGGTCATCGTCGAAGGGCTCCGACACTTCTTCAGGTCAGCCAGAAGCGCACCACACACGGCGAGCAACTCATGTCTGTCTGTCTTAATTGCTCTGTTGTGTGTCTGTGTGTGTGCGTGTTTCTGATCTGTGGTTGATATGATTGATATGTCCATCCATCCATCCATCCATCCATCTGTCCGTCAGGATCTACATCCGCTGTTGGGCCCAATGGGACAAGATCTCTCCCATCGAGGAGCAGCTCTTCAACGGCACACTCGGCTTCCACACCCTGTCCAACGGCCGCTCCCCCTCATCCGCCTCACCCCCTCACCGAGGCACACCCACACCCACCGCATCCACCACCACAGAGGTCGTCAACGACAGACAGATCCAGTCCCGCCCTCTCGGCTTCTCCATCTTCTCACGGTCACCGGCAGCTGACAAACCGCCACCCAGGCGGCCGACGCCAGAAGGGTCGGTGAGCGGTGGGGGCGAGGAGGCGGCAGGTGACGAGGCCACGGCCAGCAAGGCCAAGCGGGAGACGCCCAGGGATGGCAAGGGCGGGAAGGGCGTGGGTGCGCAGGGGGCGGCTGCTGGCGTGCGGGGCGGTGGTGGCGGTGGTGGTGGTGAGGTGGTTGAGTCGCCCAAGACGCGATGGGGTGCGCACAAGGCCAGAGGGATCAGCCTCATGCGAGCGGCGCTCATCGACCAGGCGGCGGTAAGTGGCCAGGGAATGGCTAGAGGGGGGCAGGGGCAGTATACAAATCATGAGGGGGAGGGTGGATTGAAGTATCTCGTGTGTACTCTGTGTTGGTGGATGGGCGAGTGCAGATAACGATCCAGCGCTTTGCTCGCGGCAAGAGGAGTCGTGACTTGGCACGGTACCTCAGACTGCTACGCATCTGGGAGGCCACCATGACACCCCACGCCCTCAAGATACAGAGCTTCTTCAGAGGTCAGTCAGACAGCACATGTCCCGTTGCATTGCACGTCGTGAATTCCCTCCTTCCCTCCCTGTGTGTGAATCCTTCCTTCTGGCATCAATCATTCAATTTGCCAGGTTGCAAGGGCCGCGTGAGGGCCGGGTTCCTCAAGTCCATCAAGAGCTACCAAGCACTCAGATTCGTCAAGGCGGTGAGTGAGTGGGCAGATTAGATGCGCCTCCATTTCATGCAAACACACGACGGACGGACGGATGCCTCTCTCATTGTGTGCTTGGCAGACCCTGATTCAGTCCCACTGGCGGCGTGTCGTTGCCGTACAGAACCTCCAGCTGGAATATGTGGTCAGCACCAGACACAACACGCGCACACACACAGAGACACATCCCCACCCACCGTGCGCCCGCTTGTCGATTGGTCGCCGTGTCAGATTCGCGGCATGTTGAAGGTCCGTAGGGACGCTGCGTTGGAGATCGAGCGTGTGTACCGTGGTCACTGTGGGCGTCTGGTGGCCAAGGAGGAGAAGACGCAGATCGTCTTCAGATGGATCTGGGACGGTCCTGGGCAGAGTGTCGAGGTCAGTCACAGACGAAAGGGACATATGGATCGATGGATGGATGGATGGATGGATGGCATGCCGTCGTCCATGTGTGTGTGTGTGTGTGTGTGTGCGCAGCTGGTTGGCGACTTCACCGACATGCCATGGCAAGACCGACTGAGGATGAGGTGGTGCAACATTCGATCGTAAGCATATCCGCTACACACAGCGACATCCGGCATCAACACCTCATCTCCTGTCTGTCTGTCTGTGTCAGGTGCTACGTGCGTCCGTGGCGGCGGCGCACAGGCCGGTATGAGTTCAAGTTTCTCGTCAACGGACAGTTCGTCTGCGACGGCAGCCTGCCTGTCGAGAGGGTCAGCCAGCCACCCACCCACCGAGGCAACCACAAAGCAAAGGGCACAACACACACAACACAGCCTCTCTTTCTCTATCAGGACGAGTTTGGCAATGTCAACAACGTCATCGAAATCAGAACACTCACACCCAAATTCGGTGAGGCCAAAGAACGCACTAGCAGCTGACCCGGTCAACTCATATGCCATCTGTGTCGGTGTGTCTTCCCATTCAGTCCACCGTCGTGCCGTCACTCGCGACCCTGCGAGCGCCGAGGGCCAGTTCCGCCGCAACGGCACCGACGACGACCAGGGCGGCTCATCCAGCGGATCGGGCGACTCGTCGGGCAACGCCAACCACCAGCCGTCGTCCACATCCGGCACTCACTCCCAGTCCAGCACCGGCCGCCCCTCCGCGACCCAGGGTGGCCAGCGCACCAGCTCTCAAACGCAGCCCGGCGCCACCACACGGACACAGCCACCGACGGCCACACACACACGACCGGCTGCTTCGATGGAGTCGGTCCCGTCAGCACCATCTGCCCCATCGGACAACCGTTCGGCCTCGCCGATGAGCACGGGCGATGCGGGCGGGGGGGTGGAGAGGAACCCCACAGTCGAGGAGAGGGTCACGGGCACCACACCCACCCAGCAGCAACAGCCGTCAGGGCCATCAGGCGTCCCGTCCCCCGCTCCCGAGGCGGTCCCCTCGCCCCCATCCATGCCGTCACCACCCCCCGGCCCCCGACCGTCGACCATCGAGCGATCCCGCTCCACAGAGGGGCACCGGCGGCCGTCGAGTGGCTCCATCGGGTCCGCGTCCGAGAAGTCTTCGAGCGGCCGGTCGTCTCGCTCGCCGTCTCCCCCCGTGTGGCCGCCTCCCGAGCAGATGTATGCGCATGGCGAGAACGAGCCTCGCGACCCCCGGTTCGCCCCGTTTGTGCCGCTGAGTGACGAGGGCAGCCGTCCGAGTAGCAGGGGCAGCGGGGGCTCGAGGAGGAGCTCCACGGGCAGCGAGAGGAACAGCGACAATGGGGGAGACACGCCGAGAGGACATCGCGCTGGGTAAGTCTCACCAACCCCCCCCCCCCC